ATGCATCACACTACATTCCACAACCTCCCAATACGAGTTGGTGAGACCAAAGTCACAGGTGCTTACCTGATCGATATATCATACAGTTTTACCGTAATGCATTTTCGCAAATTCGAATTTCGTCGCCAGTGGGATTCAAACTCTTGTCCTGCCGCTTGGGGGTGCGACAACTTACCTACTACACTAAGTTGCCACACCCTATAATAAGACTTGTTTTTATAGATTATTTTATTTAATAAATAATAAAATGGCAAGAAAAATTTAAAGACTTTGAAGTTGCTTGTATTTAGGAAAAATACAAGAATTTTGATAAATCTAATTACAAACTTAATGAATATCAAACAGTAAAGATTAATAATAAACTTTACTATGAAGTTAAAACTCAGAAATCAGTTACTTTTCTCTGTTGATATCGACAATTTTGATCTATTTAAAAATTTTACTTGGTGTTAAAAAAATACAAATACTTATTATTATATTTTAATAAAAATCAAAAAATAAAAATAAATAGATAACTATTCGATTTCATTAAATGGTTTATCTAAATTACAAATACCTAACCAATAAAGCTGAAATTTTTTCTGTTAGTTGTTATCACTCACTTTTATCAGCATGTTAAATTTCGCTATTGGTTTCTAGAAGAATTAAAAAAATTAGACATTTTTCATTATTTACATCAATTCTATATAGAGAAAAATGAAAAATGTAAATTTCTCAGCCAATACCAAACCAAACAAGCTGAAATTTTTCCTGGTAGTTGTTATCACTCACCTTTATCAGTATGTTAAATTTCAATACTGGTTTTTAGAAGAATTAAAAAAATCAGAGGTTTTTTTGTTATTTTTATCAATTCTATATAGAGAAAAATGAAAAATGTAAAATTCTTAGCCAATACCAAACCAATTAAGCTAAAATTTCTCCTGGTAGTTGTTATCACTCACCTTTATCTGCATGTTAAATTTCAAGATTGGTTTCCAGAAGAATTAAAAAAATTGGACGTTTTTCATTATTTACATCAATTCTATATAGAGAAAAATGAAAAATGTAAATTTCTCAGCCAATACCAAACCAATTAAGCTAAAATTTCTCCTGGTAGTTGTTATCACTCACCTTTATCTGCATGTTAAATTTCAAGATTGGTTTCCAGAAGAATTAAAAAAATTGGACGTTTTTCATTATTTACATCAATTCTATATAGAGAAAAATGAAAAATGTAAATTTCTCAGCCAATACCAAACCAATTAAGCTAAAATTTCTCCTGGTAGTTGTTATCACTCACCTTTATCTGCATGTTAAATTTCAAGATTGG